TCTCTCTCTCTCTCTCTCTCTCTCTCTTCTCTCTCTCTCTCTTGTCTCTCTTCTCTCTCTCTCTCTCTCTCCTCTCTCTCTCTCTCTCACAGCACCACTTCACTCTCTCGCTCTCTCTCTCCGCTCTGCCTTTTCTGCTGCATTTGTTGTTTATTAATGATACTGAATATATATAAATAATTTTTCATTTGCATATAATGGCTTAACTACTTGATGCAGAAACAGGCATCTTCTTGTTCATTTTAACTTCTAAACATTTTACTTGCTAAATCATTTTACTTCCTAAATCATTTTTTACTTCCTAAATCAATCCCTGTTGTATCATTGAACACCGGGTAACCAACCAGCAAGGCCAGCTGCGCCAGGATTGGGAACGGCAAGTTATTGAGATTATTTTTTCTCTTTTTCTTATCTTTAGGGGCCATTGTCATTAAATGTAAAATTTATTTATATTTCTTGTTTATTTTTGCTCCGTTCGTCATGCCCATGCTTGCTGTTTGTCCTTCAGAATCTTAATGCATAGATAAGATGTTGGTCTATGATTGCTTTTCACTTTCGTCTCTCTCTTTATCTTTCTTTCTCTCGTCATCTCTTTCTCTCTCTCTCTCTCATCTGCTCTCGTCATCTCTTCTCATCTCTCTCTCTCTCTCTCCTCTCTCTCTCTCTCTTTCCCTCTTCTCTCTCTGCTCTCTCTCTTCCTGCTCTCCGTCTCTCCTCTCTCTCTCCTCTCTCTCTCATTCATACACCTTCTCTCTACTTCCTTCTCTCCTCTCCCCTCCTGCCTCCACTTTCCCTCTTTCTCTCTTATTCTATTCCCTCTCTCCTCTCTCTCATACTCTCTCTCTCTCTCTCTCGCTCTCTCTCTCTCCTCTCTCTATCTCTCTCTCTCTCTCTCTTCTCTATCTCTCTCGTGTCTCTCGTTCTTTCCCTCTCTTCTTCTCGTTCTCTCTCTCTCTCTCTCTCCTCTCTTCTCCTCTCTTTTTAGGCCCCATCTTCCTACTCTCTCCTCTCTCTCTCTCTCTCTCTCTCTCTCTCTCTCTCTCTCTCTCTCTCTCTCTCTCTCTCTCTACTCTCTCATGCTCTCCTCTCTCTCCTCCCCATTCCCTCTCTCTCTTCACACACGACACACACACCCACACACACACACCACACCACACCGACACACCCACAACACACACACAACACACACACACACACGACACACACACACATACACTTTCCCTCTCGCTTTCTCTTCTCTCTCTCTCTCTTCTCTCTCTCTCTCTCTCGTTCTCTCCTCTCTCTCATATCAATCACCTACTTCACGCTCTCTTCACTAGTCCCGTCATACAGCATCGTATCCACGTCCGAACAATCCAGTATGCAGTGCTCCTCTCTCTACCACTGCATCTATCAATCATCTCTCTCATTCCTGCATCATTCTCTCTCTCTCCTCTCTACTAACGCGTCTTCCATCTCTCTCTCTTCTTCTCTCTTGTTCTTATAGGCCCCATCCTCTCTCTCTCTCTTCTTTCGTTCTTCTCAGCCCCCCATCTCTCTCTCTCTTCTGCTCTCTCTCCTCTCTCTGTTCTCTCTCTTCCTCTCTCTCTCTCGCTCTCGCTCTCTCTCTCTCTCTCTACGTCTCTTTTCTCCTTCAAATCTTACGATGAGATAGTCAGTATGATACTATATGGACGTAAATCATAAAGTGTTGAGGTACCACGTGCTCAGAATTTACGTGCCTCTTTAACGGGCAGTTCACAATTACACATGTTCATGCCCCTGCTGTCTTGGGAAATCCTGCGATAAAGTGACAGTGAGAGCCACCGAGGATGCCAATAATAAGTGTTGCAACTACATTCGTTGGGCCGTTTGCTTTGACCTGCATAAGGGTCAATGTCTGGCCTGGATAGGGGTTCCTCTTCCCTATAGATGTTGATAAGAGTAACGGGTTACAGTAGTCGTGTCAATGGACTATACGGAATGTGTGTGTGTGTGTGAGTGTGTGTGTGTGTATGTGTGTGTGTGTGTGTGTGTGTGTGTGTGTGTTGTGTGTGTGTACATGTATATATTAGGACTGTTAGATAAATTTTGTAAGATAAGTAAGAAAATACTTTGCAATTATAAAATGTACTTGTATCGTTTTTTTATGTATATCTTTGCCACAAAAATCTTCATTTTCTTACAAGATAATCTTGGCGGGTACAGATCATGAAAATAAAACAAATGTACATAACAGTCCTTTTAATATTCATAACACATGCCATACACATTGATTGAAAGTAGCGAACATGTCATTTTTGAATATTGTAATTCTCTGATAACATAACCCTTTGTTTCATGCTAAATCTAATCACAAAAAACTTCTTTATGGAAGAAATCTACTGAAATTCCATTAGGAGACACACCAAAAGTTATCTACAGTTACAGTAGCAAAGGCATATAGGAATCTGGACTTTCTAGAGTACAGCAAATATACACAATAATAAGATCTGCAACAGGTGTTTTCCAAGTGTTGCAG